TACAGTGTGATGCTCCGATGTAGTCATGCAATATGAAAATTTATCTGACATCACAGTTCGGGTCGTCAGTAACTGCCTGATTCATCCAATCAGAGGCCTTATTTATTGATCAGTAACCACTGACCGAGCATTGTATTACATATTTTGCTGTAGACTAATTAGTTTTTCATTTCTTTTGTCTTTATGTTGGCTGGTTGTGTGTTATCCACCAAGAATGGCTTTATATAGATAACTTTTATCTGTGGCCATGGTTATCAGGTATCAGTGACCTCTCCTCAGAGGCCAGTGCGTGGCACAGTGACCTTTACAATGCATTGTGGGTAATATCAGATTTTATTTGTCTCTATGCTTGCTTTACATTTCCTTTAAATATTCTTGGTTTTTTATCTAGTATCATTGATCATGAATATTCATCCCTCTGAACTATTTCATTACTGTTAAAAAATGTGTCGTTTTCATCTTAAACACACATGATCAAGTTTAAATTCCTGTATTTACACTTTATAAGTACAGATACATACAAACATGATCTGAAGAAACTCAAAAACACATTTTTTATACGGTTTTGAAATTTTTCTTTATTCAGGAAGAACAGCATTAATTTGAAAATAAAATTCATGAAATAAAGCAAGTCATACAATGCAAGAAAAGGGACTGAAAAGCAAAACCAGAGTTTGCTTAGAGGACAATACAAAGAAAGATGAGATCAAAAGGAAGATAGAGATATAGAAAGTTAATATAGGGACAAAAGCTATTATACCACAGAAATTACCTGGAAGTCTATTTATACTTATCAAATCAGACTCTGTTCACAATGTTATATGTAGTCAGATTTTAAAAAAAATTGTCTGATTTTCCATCATGTCAATCATGAAGAATTGATCATGTAAACCTGTCTAATCTGACACCATGTGGTACACAAATATTGGTCAGATTAACCTGTCTAATCTGACACCATGTGGTACACAAATATTGGTCAGATTAACCTGTCTAATCTGACACCATGTGGTACACAAATATTGGTCAGATTAACCTGTCTAATCTGACACCCAGCGGTACACAACATATTGGTCAGATTAACCTGTCTAATCTGACACCATGTGGTACACAAATATTGGTCAGATTAACCTGTCTAATCTGACACCATGTGGTACACAAATATTGGTCAGATTAACGTGTCTAATCTGACACCCAGCGGTACACAAATATTGGTCAGATTAACCTGTCTAATCTGACACCATGTGGTACACAAATATTGGTCAGATTAACCTGTCTAATCTGACACCCAGCGGTACACAACATATTGGTCAGATTAACCTGTCTAATCTGACACCATGTGGTACACAAATATTGGTCAGATTAACCTGTCTAATCTGACACCATGTGGTACACAAATATTGGTCAGATTAACCTGTCTAATCTGACACCCAGCGGTACACAATGTTAGTGTCCCTTTCCCATTTCTGGCTGGAATGTCGTCAGTGACTTGTAAGTGTCCCTTTCCCATTTCTAGTTGGAGTGTCGTCAGTGACTTGTAAGTGTCCCTTTCCCATTTCTAGTTGGAGTGTCATCAGTGACTTGTAAGTATCCCTTTCCCATTTCTGGCTGGAATGTCGTCAGTAACTTGTAAGTGTCCCTTTCCCATTTCTGGCTGGAGTGTCGTCGGTGACTTGTAAGTGTCCCTTTCCCATTTCTAGTTGGTGTTGTTGGATCCCTTTGCCATCTCCTGCCTTTAATTATCTTTTGTGCCAATTTTGTGAGAAGAATACAAGCTGCTGAGATTTCTGGTCTTGTTTAGTAATTGATTCTCTGAATAGTTAGTTTTTTTTAAAAGGAACTGAGGTAAGGGGATTTGATCAAGACGGATCACTTTGTACTTGTATACACTTTGTTTACTTGATTATAAATTACATCATCTGTAGATTGTTTGAGTTTGGAATAATGGCTTGCATGTGTAAGTAGTCTCTGGTAATTATACGAATGTGAGTCTTCATTGTGTATGCGTAAAACATGGAGTAGAAATATGTTTATTTTTCTGTGATAACTAACACTAAGATAAATTTGTTTATGTATACAACATACTGGTCAGATTAACCTGTCTCATCTGACACCCTGCGGTATACAACATACTGGTCAGATTAACCTGTCTAATCTGAGACCCTGCGGTATACAACATACTGGTCAGATTAACCTGTCTCATCTGACACCCTGCGGTATACAACATACTGGTCAGATTAACCTGTCTCATCTGACACCCTGCGGTATACAACATACTGGTCAGATTAACCTGTCTAATCTGAGACCCTGCGGTATACAACATACTGGTCAGATTAACCTGTCTAATCATACACCCTGCGGTATACAACATGTTGGTCAGATTAACCTGTCTAATCTGAGACCCTGCGGTATACAACATACTGGTCAGATTAACCTGTCTAATCTGAGACCCTGCAGTATACAACATACTGGTCAGATTAACCTGTCTCATCTGACACCCTGCGGTATACAACATACTGGTCAGATTAACCTGTCTAATCTGAGACCCTGCGGTATACAACATGTTGGTCAGATTAACCTGTCTAATCTGAGACCCTGCGGTATACAACATACTGGTTAGATTAACTTGTCTAATCTGAGACCCTGCGGTATACAACATACTGGTCAGATTAACCTGTCTAATCTGACACCCTGTGGTATACAACATACTGGTTGATTGATTGATTGACACAAGATATTGGGCAGATCTATCTGTCTGAAACTGGAACACAACACATTGTGATATTGACCTGTCTAATGTGACACTTTTCTGTGAAATTATCCATTTGACAGTTTAATAATCCACTGTCTGTTCAATAATATCGTTATTGTAGTGTTGGAAAGGGCAATTGTAAAACAAAAAATTTTGTGAAATGGCTTTTTAATTTTATGATATACAATTGTCAGCATTATGACAACCCTTTGGGCCTTTTCTTTGCTGTTCTAATAATATCAATTAAAATTACACTAATTAACCTGAGTCCATGTTTGCTGCACAGGCAATACTAAGAGATTTGTGGATCTTGCTGTGCTGGCATTTAGGAAATATTACATACCCAGGTAGGAAGACTTGCTTGGTATTATAACCTGCAGGAAGTATTGTACAGCAAGTAAATCTACACTGACAAGAGAGAAAGTGCTGGGCTGGGAGAATTCCAGCTACCACAGTGCCATAGGCATTAGTATAGCTCAATGTTGTTAATGTAACGCAGCTCCAATACCTTGTACAGGGAACCACTACCCAGAGAACCAGTGGCTCTGGACAGGCTACCTATATCAACTGTTCTGGTCCATTTGTTAATTGTTCAACAGATTTCCCTGTGTTAGACTTCATGATGGCGAATTGAGAATTAATTGGATATCAGAGCCTCACTGTCAACTATGGCATTTGCTTTAAGCACAAGGAAACAAATGTCTCCAGATTATTTGTAAATTCTGGTTGGCCTTGTGATATAGACAAGTTGATTGGTAGATTGGGATGTGTTTGGATTGACCTGTGTAGAAAAATGCCTTGGATTATTCGTATCAGGAAAGTGAAGAAAGTAACTGCTGTACAGCGCAGGCGATTTAAAGGTAAAGGCAAGGTAATAGCTACAGGTTTGTTTCAATACAGACTCAATCTTTTTGGATCAGAAAATATATTTATGTGATCAGAAAGTTATTGTAGTTAATTTTTTTCACTTTAAAATTTTCAGTTAAACTGGGGCATTTTTCAGTATACCTGATACATGCCCCTATCTCATTGTAATGCATTGTTTGTTATCTGTCTTTCTCTCATTTTTATTCTGCCTTTCGATATTTTTAATATGATGGCTCTTTTTGGAAATCTGAAAGAATCCAAGTTCAGGCATTTGACCAGTAGAAGGTGCTAAATGCCATCTTATTAATAAGGCCTCTAATGCAGCTGTGGCTAGTTTGTTTCAGTAAGGATTACACTGATGTGAAAAATATTGTCAACGTAATGTCCATGACTTGTGATGAACAATCAACAGGGTTTACATTATATTTTTGTGGTTATTTGGTGAGCAGTATTCTGAAATATTCTGAAATTATTTGTTTCAGTCTGAAGTTTACAAAATTTGTCTCAAAGTTTTCAACAGAGTTTGACTCCAATTGGGATTCTTTCATTCAGCAACTTGTCATAGACTTTTCATTTTAATTATCTCAAAAACCCTTATCAAGATGAAAAATTCCAGTATTTATCCTTTGTAATGAACTCTTGAAATGAAATTCAAATTTTTTTTATAATACAGTACTGTCTGATGAAATGAAATTATGATGTTTAAATGAAATTTGAGGGTTATATTTCTTGAAAGTATTTGAGACGTAAACTGTTTGAAGTATTTGATATGTTAACGGTTTTTGATGGCTGTTAATAAGAACAAAAGATTCTCTGATGTAAAAAGATGTAGAACTATTCTTGCACTTTCCACACCTGTGGACTAAGTCTTGTTTTTACGACACAATATAGTTGTTCTTCACCTGATAACAAACTCCGGGTCTGACATCGGCATCCTGGGAGCATCCTTGGCATGTTATAGTGAACAAGTAAATATCAATAGCTGTGAAAACTGATCATGTAATTTGTCAGGAATTACGGTAAATGTACCAAAATTTTGATATCTGGCCATTTTGTATACTACTGCCATAGAGATGAGATATATTGTCTGGCATATGTAACCTCAACCTTGATGAAGTAACAGTACTGGTAAAACAGCCTTGGCTAGGACAGCAAACATAAGTGTTTCAGGTCTCAGTCATACGTGAATGTAGGAAATGTTGGGTAGAATGGTAAGCTTGTGTTGTAACAAATCTGGCATTATATCTCATACTTACCAAATTTTTATGTCAGGTACATCTCACACATACAGAGTTGTCACCACTAATACATCACTGCTGAGGATGCTGTTGCAGATATTTAGGTGTTGTTGGTATTCCTGATATATGACACATTCCTTATCTTCTTCCTTTTTATCTTATCATTCTATCACTTTGTGCTTCCTGATCTCTGCCATCTGGTTTTCAGTCTGTCCCTTCTAACCCCCACCCCCATTCTTTTGTTTCTGTCACAGTCACTAGTCACTATGCTTTTTTTTTGTCTCACCCTCCTGTATTCTCCTCTGCCTTTTTCATTCATTTTCATTTGTATCACCTTTCTTTCCTGATCCTTGCATATCCATGCAACATTTTTACGTACATTTTCTTGTACCCTTCTCATTTCTATCCTCCCCTCCCCCTACATCCACTATCTCTCTTCTTCCTACATCTTTATCTCCCTCCCCAACACCTTATACCTCCTTTCTCTTTACCTCCTTCCCCAACACCTTATACCTCCTATCTCTCTTTACCTCATTTCCCCTTCACCCACTCTCTCTCTTCTCCCTATGCCTCATTTCTCCCTTCTCTTTACCTCCCTTTCCTACACCCTCTATCTCTCTTCTCTTTACCTTCCTCCCCAACACCTTATACCTCCTATCTCTTTACCTCATTTCCCCTTCACCCACTCTCTCTCTTCTCCCTGTGCCTTATTTCTCCCTCTTTACCTCCCTTCCCAATAGTTTAAGTCTCCTTTCTCTTTACCTCCCTCCCCAATACCTTATTTCTCCCTTCTCTTTACCTCCCTTTTCTACACCCTCTATCTCTCTTCTCTTTACCTCCATCCTTCCCCTGTGCCTTATACCTTCCCTTACACACCATACCTCCCTTCTCTTTACCCTCATGAAGATATCTGTCTGGTTGTAATCTCATTTTCAGTTCTGTGTTTAGAAATGATAAAACCCTGATTTCCAGCTGATTGATATTCAGTGCAGTTTGCATCTAGTGAAAAATTGTCAGACTATATGGTGCAGCAAGGTATGTACACAAGCACATTACGTGCACATTCAATATGCATCACTCATGATAAGTAGAGGTGGGCTGAGGTGTCAAGGGTATTGAACAGTTGTGCCTAACATTTGTTACGGGGCTGTACAGATGTGTTGGCAGTATGGGTTATCATTGTCCTGTAAGAATTGGGATTATAATAACGGGATTAACATATCTAAATCAAACGAGTAAGGTTTTGAAAATTCATATTATGGAAAAGTTCTGTTTCATGTGTGTCTGCTAGTACACAATCTTATATTACATAGAAATTCTTCAAAAATGATGATCAGATTTGCATAGTTCATAGCCATCGAGCTTCCTCTCGTCCATGTTTGCTATTCATAAGTACTTACTCGTGTTGAATCACTGGATGGATTTAAACCAAATTTTATCTGAAATATCACTGATCCATAACTTCAGAGTCCAGAAATAGCTAACAACATTTTTTAAAATTTTTTATTTTGTTTTTTGCTAGTTTAAGTCTTAATGAATGAGAATAAAGATAATCTGTCTGTAGTTTTAAAATTTTTGTAACAATACTGTTACAAATATCAGCTTAATTGACACCAGTCTGTTTCACTATTAAGTCTCACTCTGTAACCTAGTATAATTAAAATGTACGAGCACTAATTTCAAAAAGCTGGTGTTATCCCTTCATCAGATTACAGTGTATTCCTGTGAATGAAGCCTCTCTGCTGTAGTCATACCACTATACCTCTTTGATAACATTGAAACTTCCTCTATGTATGTGAAAAAGGCATTAAATGGGGCCTCTTTAATGTCCTCACATAAAGTGTCCATACAACTACTGATTGATTCAAATTTTGATTTTTCCATTTGATTCCCTTTTTTTTTTGTTTTTTAAATTTCCTTCAGACCATTGATTGCTTGTTGTTGTAGGGTAATGTGATTATAAAGTATCAACATTCTCCATTTAAATCCGAAGTCTAAGTTGATTGTGTCCGGGGACCATTAATTCTGACAAACCCACAGTGCTTCCTAGGCAAGGTGGAGACGGTTGCGATTCTTCCTGCACTCCACAGACGATGTAAAAGCTCATTATTGACATTCAACATAATCACGGCCGTCAGATTACAGGCAGACTTGTCTGAGCACGAGGTACCTGCCAAGGGAGGTCAGCCTGGGACATGCATGCTGCACACTGTTCTTCACATGGCTTCTCGATAACTCTAGATCTCCCTAGTTCTTAGAGTCAATACAGTAATAAATATCACACTACCATAATGGTCTTAATAAATGTTTCATTACCGCAATGGTCTTAATAAATGTTTCATTACCATAATGATCTTAATAAATGTTTCATTATCATAATAGTCTTAATAAATATCACACTACCATAATGGTCTTAATAAATGTTTCATTACCATAATGGTCTTATTAAATATCACACTACCATAATGGTCTTAATAAATGTTTCATTACCATAATGGTCTTATTAAATATCACACTACCATAATGGTCTTAATAAATGTTTCATTACCGTAATCGTCTTAATAAATGTTTCATTACCATAATGGTCTTAATAAATGTTTCATTACCATAATGGTCTTAATAGGTCTTAATGTGTAATCGCTACCATAATGGTCTTAATAAATGTTTCATTACTGTAATGGTCTTAATAAATGTTTTATCACCATAATTGTCTTAATAAATGTTTCATTACCGTAATGGTCTTAATAAATGTTTCATTACCATAATGGTCTTAATAAATGTTTCATTACCATAATCATCTTAATAAATGTTTCATTACAGTAATGGTCTTAATAAATGTTTCATTACCATAATGGTCTTAATAAATGTTTCATTACCATAATGGTCTTAATAAATGTTTCATTACCATAATGGTCTTAATAGATGTGTAATGGTCTTAATAAATGTTTCATTACGTTTCATTACCATAATGGTCTTAATAAATGTTTCATTACCGTAATAATAAATGTTTCATTACAATAATCGTCTTAATAAATGTTTCATTACCGTAATGGTCTTAATAAATGTTTCATTACCATAATGGTCTTAATAAATGTTTCATTACCGTAATCATCTTAATAAATGTTTCATTACCATAATGTTCTTAATAAATGTTTCATTACCATAATGGTCTTAATAGATGTGTAACGCTACCATAATGGTCTTAATAAATGTTTCATTACTGTAATGGTCTTAATAAATGTTTTATCACCATAATTGTCTTAATAAATGTTTCATTACCATAATGGTCTTAATAAACATTTCATTACCATAATGGTCTTCATAAATGTTACATTACCGTAATGGTCTTAATAAATGTTTCATTATGGTTATAATCTTAATAAATGTTTCATTATTGTTATGGTCATAATAAATATTTCACTTTGGTAATAGTCTTAATAAATGTGTTTCAATTTGTGTTTCAATACTGTAATGGGATTGATAAATGTTTCACTACCATAATTGTCTTAATAAATGTTACCATTTATATTGGTAGCTGACAAAGTGTGTTGTATGGGTATGGTCTTTACTTAAATGCCTAGTCCTTGTAAATTTTATCCAAGCCTTAGGCTCCAATGGTGTTTGGGTACTTTATCAGCTAATGATGATGAATTTGACTGTTTTGTGATCCATCATCATTTTACATTAATTGACAATGACTGTAGCTTGTTGATGACATTTTTCATTGATTACCTCGTCCTCTGAGCTAGATAAATTTCTACACATGGGGTACCAGTACAAAAGCTCATTTTGTGTCAACAAGTTTTATTCCTTTAAAATTTTTAAACTTCTTTCTGTGAGGTAAGAAAGATACCCATTTGAAATGATTTGGAGTTGACTTCTCTGAAGAGGCGGATCACAACAGTTGTTTTGAATTATTTATCAAGTAAGACCTAACCTACGAACTCATCCCATTATTTCGTATTACAGTAGATCTCATAAATACAAAGACAAGACCAGGGGGTTTAGTGATTGTTCTTCAGAGAGACTCTTTGAAAGACAAGAAAATCAGGACTTTGTTTGACATTTATTTTATTATGGCAATAAGTACATTGAAAAAAATCAACTCTTGTTTTGGTGAAATTGTTTTTCTTAAGCTGGTTTTTCCTGCTTGTGGTTTGTTTTGCTGGACTGTATGAAGATTTGTATGAAAGACTAGTGAACTAGTTGTTGATGAAGTTGACTGTGTATTTGGTATCACATCCGGAAGGACAAAGCCATTGTATCATATGTTCAGGTTTTACAGCTTTGTAATCACAAAACAGATCAACAATATAGGATGAAGAGTACATTAGTTTCCTTAAACAGTACAAAAAAACTTCTAATCCTAAACTGATAATATGCAAATTAACTTGTAATGATTATGTTAATTTTTCCTCTTTGACCCTGACACATCATGAAATCAGAGTGGTGTTTGTCACGGATGATTTTATCACAAGTTTTTTAATCATAACCATAACCAGCTTAGACTTCTAGGTACAAGTACATAAAAGGTCATCACTCCAGTTCAAGTGAAAATAGAGAAGTTTTTCTCTTATCACTTTATTCATTGGTCTGGTTTTCACATTAAACACTTATAACACTAGTAGCAGTTTCTTTTTTATCTCTACTTCTTGGTTGTAGTAATAAGTCCTCTATAAACCCTGGTGTGGTGAGTATCTTGGGTTCGAATGTGGACATGAGGCCCTGATGGACCCCGGTGTAGTGGGTATCTTGGGTTCGACTGTTGACTTGATGGACCCCGGTGTAGTGGGTACCTTGGGTTCGACTTTAGACATGATGAACCCCGGTGTGGTGGGTATCTTGGGTTCGACTGTTGACATGAGGCCTTGATGGACCCCAGTATGGTGGGTATCTTGGGTTCGACTGTTGACATGAGGCATTGATGGACCCCAGTGTGGTGGGTATCTTGGGTTCGACTGTTGACATGAGGCATTGATGGACCCCAGTGTGGTGGGTATCTTGGGTTCGACTGTAGACATGATGGACCCCGATGTAGTGGGTATCTTGGGTTCGACTGTAGACATGATGGACCCCGTTGTGGTGGGTCTCTTGGGTTCAACTGTAGACATGATGGACCCCGGTGTGGTGGGTATCTTGGGTTCGACTGTAGATATGATGGATCCCGGTGTGGTGGATATGTTGGGTTCAACTGTTGATATCTACGTGGAATATTTTAAACTGTAATCTCAACTATTATGAAAACAAGAGTTAGAATGGTGAATCGTGCTTGTTTAATGGTTATTTACTATATCAACATTAAAGCCTGACCCACATTGTTGCTCATAAACTCGGAAAAGTCACCTTCTGTTTTTGTGATTGTACGCCAGCGAAGCTCAAACGTTGTTTATGGTTTCTTTCCACATACAATTTAACTGGAAAATGAAAAAGATTTCTTCTGTCAATGTAATTGGTTTTTAAAGTGTATTTGTAATTTTTGCACACATCTTTAAAGAAACTTGCAGTGAAATATTATTGATCTGTTGAGGAGATATTGCCTGGTAGCACTGCATGTTGGCACTGGAAGTCATGTTGACAATCATTATCTGGTGAAATGTATGACTTATATGCTTGTTGTCTTGGAAATTTCCCTTGAGGTAGATGGAGTCTGGGTAAAACTGTATTATTGAGATGTCTTTAGGTCACTGGTGGTCTGGCATTCTCTTTGGTCATCGTTTAGTGACCAGACACGCAAGTTATGATGGCTCGATAGTTTTGCAAAGATGTGTTAAAATATAACAGGCAATCATTGACTGGCACACACTGCATGTCAGATTCAACAAAGTGAAATACCGACATGTTATTTTATAGTGTATCTGCGTGTTTCATTATGTTTAAGATAACGGGATTGAGACCATATTTTCTCCGCAGATAGACCGTACAAATTGAAAATTCCAAGATTTCTCCGTATATGTATCGTATCTTTCATGCATTGGCAAGAAGCACAGACAATTTACAATGGAGAAACAGGTTTTTATTGCAAATCCATTGATAATGGCCGATTGCGTTATATGGATTAACGCGTGGTAATTACATTTTTATGTTTATGCCTCTCTAACCATGTATTTGGTTCAGCTGGAATTCGCCTTGCTCCTGTCTTATGTGAGAGGTAGTAACAGGTCTGTCAGTGCAGTAGATCTATATTTAAACTGTCAAGAGTACACTTGGTTATTACCACAGTGAGTAAAATGCGGCTGTCAACCTCACACCTTCCATAACTACTGGTCTTCCTCTACCTTTTTCTTCACCTTCTGTACGGTAACTGAGGGGAGTCTGATGATCTATGGGAAGGGTCCGAATCAAAGATGTCGTTTTGTATGGCTTTAAAGAAAAGGCTAGAACTACTGTGTAAAGCATAGTCTAAACTTCAGTGATTTCAAAACCTACGTCTAAAGATTTTGATTAATGAAAGAGCTCTACAAAATCTACCCAAATAAAAAACGTGATTAAAAGAAATCAATTAAATTTATCTAGAAAAAACTGTGGTTATAAAAAGAGCTGAACATCTCTCCCAAAACACAATAAACTCAATATATGTAGGAAAAACCTGAAAAATGAAAAGCTTGTTTAAGGTCACAAAACACCAGAAATCAAACATCAGTAAGTAAAAAAGGATAATTATATATCAGATCAATTTCCACACTTGGCTCTCATCTGGTTTGGGACTTTGGCGACGAATTCAATTACATTAATAGTATTACCTAGCATTACAGCTAACAGCTTTAATATTTCAAAGTTCAACACATGTGACATCTGTCTATATTCATAGAAACATATCTTGCAAAATTTTACAAATGATATAATTTTGTTTATTAAATGACATATAGGACTGTCATTTCCTTCAGAAGTCAACAACCACAAGTTTACAGGTGAAATTTATCACCTACTAAGGGAAAATCCCAGACATTTTACACCCGTCTAATTCTGCACACAAATATTAGAATATGTTTCAATTTTACATTTTTCATGAAGCCAAATACTGGAAATTTAAACACCAAGAGGGCACAAACTTTTCAGAATCAAAAATTTAGAAATTGATGACAGACATTTGAAAAAGAATCCTAGTCACTCATTGGCTCATCTAGTTGCGTGAATCCTTTGAAAACTGGAAAATTCAAGATTTACCC